AGTTACTGTGTAGAGCGCAGGCACGTACTTCCCAGCAGTGTCCTGTCTGGACTTTCCTCAGCAACTCTTGCATTCTTCATTTCAATTCTAAGATGCCTGTGGTTTCCCCATTTCACAATTGATCAGATATAGAAAATTAGAGGTCAAACCTACTGTAGCAGCAATAATAGCTAACAGCCTGACTCAAAGGAGGGAAAAGACAAAAGCTGATATAAGAATTCCTAAAAGGGCATTAAATGAAGGGACAAGCTGCTTACACACCTCCTTGTCTCATGACGACATAACTGCACTGCATATCACAGCCCAGTATATAGTAACTGTTACTCAGAGTCATAACTGCGGGTCATCAGAAAAGCTTAAATGATACTCAATGTGCTGTTTAAAAGGGTGACTCTAAATCAGCACTGGGGAAGGGTGACGGCACTGAGAAAGGTCCCCTAGAGGAGAGAAGGGGTTACTCCACCACCGCATACCACATGGGGTCCCTCATACCTCTGAATATTATCTTCAAGTTGCTTGACTCTGAACTCGTCCTCCTCAGACTGCCGCCTCCTGGCTTCCTCCTCTTCGGCAGTTCCCGCAGGTATACCTTGCAGCAGCCATTTTTCCCGGAGCAATTTGGACTGTGGGAACGGGGGAGAGAGAAGAGACAAGATGATATTTTTCAGTGCACATCCTCCTCTCCATCTGCAGCGCCACCGTGTCAGCCCCGCCCGTCACTGTCCCTGCCGTCACCTCCTCCCCAACTTGGCTCCCTATTTCCCTCCTGCTCAACATCCAGAGAACAGTCTGAGCAGTTTATTTCTACATTTTCTACTATTAAAAAAGGGAAAATGTACAGAAAAAAAGGAACTGCACAAGGAATGGCCCCATGACCTCATCTGGATTTAAGAACTATAAATATTTTGCCATATTTCCCCATCTAAGTTTTTCCACCAAACCATTTTAAAGTAAATGACAAACACCATGCTAATTTACCCATAAATACTTCAGTAGGAATCTCTAAAAAATAAGGACTTTTTTTTTTCCCCCCTGTAAAACCACAGTTCCATTACAAAATTTCTTCAGATCACCTGACATGCAGTTCTTTTAAAAAATCCATCTATGGCATGCCCCTACTCAAAAACTTCTAATGGCTCCCAACTGTCCTCAGCAGTAGTTTCCAAGTGTTTTAAAAATTACACGCATCACATGGGCCAGAGGATGAATGTATTTTGAGCAGAATAAAACGTTTTTGGGTTTCAGGTCATTTGAGGAGGGGAGGCAGCATGGTGGCTGCTTTCAGAGGGGAAAAGAAAACAGTTCAAGAGCAAGGCACCTGGCAACTCCCTGAAACGAAGAGCAAAGGGACAGATGGTGCAGGAGGGGAGTTTTTGTTTGAGTCTGCACATAATGGCCTCTAGATGATAGATGGTGGCTACCGGATGTTTACGGAGGCTGGACCCTGATCATCACGCCTGAGGACCAGTGAGAGTCCCTGTGGAACGGACTGTTGTGAGGAAGCACTGCTGAGTGTGCCAGGAGCTTGTCACATTAGCAATTCTTCCCGGCAACAGTGGGCAACCAAAGAAGAACAGGGAGGGTAACACTGAAGGTGGCGGCCAACGGAGTAAGCACAGCTGCCCTGGCATCACCTCGAAGCAGACTTTTGCTTGACCTTGTTAATTAGGTGGCCAAGGCAGAGAAAAGGGAGCTCTCATAATGATTATACTTGAATTTTTCTCTATCCAGGAAACTAAGGCTTGTTATTGCAGTCGTTGTCATCAAGTGGACTCTGACTCATAGAGGCCTTTTGTATAACTGAAGGGAATGCTGCCTGGTTCTACTCTACCTTCAGGACCACTGATATGTTTCAGTCTGTCGTTTCAGCCACTGTGCCAATTCATTTTACTGACGGCTTTCATTCACTTTAGCAACCATGATGGCCTTGTCTAGCTATTGTCCTTTCCTGAAGATATGTCCAAAGTAAACAAGGTGAAGGTCCACCACCTTCACTTCCAAGGAGCACCCTACTGTATTTCTTCTAAGGCTGATGTATTCATTCTTCTGGCAGTCCACAGTATATTCAATGTTCTTGCCAAAACCACAAATCGAAAGCATCAATTTTTCTTCTGTCTTCCGTTTTCATTGTTCAGCTTTCACATGCATATAAGACATAAGTGGCCTGGAGTCAATTAAATTTGATTTCTAGAAATAAAGTGAAATCTATGTCCAACATTGTGGACCAAAATTCCTACTCACTAGAGAGTTCATTCTGTAGCTCTGAGTGAAGGATGCCCAATTCCACAGACCTTCATTTTTACCTAGGGTTAAAGGTTACTAATTATGAATCTATAAAACAAGATACTATTAAAAATTTCCAACACTTAGTAACAATAAGTTAGAATACACTGAGGCTTCTGGTTCACCCCCCTACTGAGAAGTCAGGCAGCCCATTCAGCACAGCAGGGACCCTGCTGGATGCACAGGAGAAAGCTCCAACCTCTGGAACTCGGGCACTTCCAGGAAAGACCCTCTGTTAGCAATACATCATCAATGTGATATTCAGGTAACCATGGTTTCCTCTGGTGTTAAACTTGCTTTTTAATTCTAAGTCATTGTTTGTAAGGTCTGTTGGGTTACTATTACAGAGCATAGAGAAACATATCTATAGCACATGATTTACAGGTTTTTCATAATTAGACATAAAGATATGAGTTTGTTCAAATATAAGTGATCCCTAACTATACTGCTAAAGTGGTTGTAGACCTGAAACCCGCCCCCTACATGACCCCAATATGTTTATGCAATTACCCATTATTGGAAGTGTTTTCTGTACAAATCATTTGTTACTACCACCAAATAAAATTTTTTTTAAAAAAATTACCAGGTTTTTAAGCTTATAGGCAATTGTTTTATAATATAAAATCCTGTGTGAAAGCTCCCAGTACAATTTGTGTAAATTGAACCACAGTGATTTATTTTCCATCAGAAAGTGGGAATGGGTGGGGTAGACTGGCTACACTCCCTAAGTGGCTACAGAAGAAACAAGCTGAACACTGCTCTCCATGCAAGTCACTGGAATTCTCCAAGCAGATCATGCTTGTACAGACAGGGCCAGCACTGAACAGAAGTAAGAGGAGCCAGCCTGCATGGATACTGCTTCCACGTTTTCCATCTACTAGCTGTGTGACCCTGGACAGCTCCTTAACATCACGGAGCCTCAGTATTCTCAACCACCACAGGGCCTGTGTCAGAGGGCTGTCACAAGGATGAACTGAGTTCATACACTGAAGGTATCTGATACATACTTGGTCCTACATTGTTGTTGTTCTTGTTCAGTGCCATCAAGTTGGACCCGATTCATAGTGACTCCTCCTTGGGTTTCCAAGGTGGTATCACTACAGAAGTAGATTGCCCAACCTTCCTTCTGAGGAGTGGCTGGTGGGTTTGAACCACCAGCCTTCTGATTAGCAGTCAAGTGCCTTAGGCACTACGCTACCAGAGTTCCTTTAGAAATGCTTATTATCATCTCATTCTTCTGTTCCCTTGGCCTCTCCTCCTATCATCTAGAAAAGGCCGGTGAAATGCCACCGTGGAAGCCTCTCTCCACCTCAGTATTTCCAGTGATCCATCTCCTGTAGCAAACCCACACTCTACAGCACTCTTGACCCCATTCTAGAACAATTTCTTTTTGCATCTGCTCCCCTCTAGAGTCCCAGCTCCCTTAAGGCTGGGACTATATGTTACCCACCTTTGCACTTCATTGTAGCACCTAGCCCAGTTCTAGAAGGTAAATGATCAGAAGAATTGAGAAATTCACAATTTCCTTTCACTCTACTACTTAGGTGATGGGTTGTTGCACTTCCAGGGTGCTTCCTGTGCCAAAATGTATGGTACTACCTTGATTCAAGCCACAGAAGTGGCAGGGGGTTGGGGTGGGAGCTCTTAAAGCTCTGGTGTGTAGTGGTTAAGGCCCTTGGCTGCTAACCAAAAGGTTGGTGGTTCTAACCCACCAGCTGCCCCATGGAAGAACAATAAGGCAGTCTGCTTCTGTAAAGATCTACAGCCTTAGAAACCCAGTGGGGGTTGCTATGAGTCAGAACTGACAGATAGTAGTGAGTTTAGTTTTTGAAGATGACTGGAGACACATTATCCTAGCAGGCCCAGGGCTAATGTGGGGCCCCTCTAGAAAGGCAGCCAGAGACAGTCCTGGCCCCCTGAGCCCTGGCAGGCACACTGTGCAGCCAGGCCTTCCTGAGAAGACGTCTCTGCCCTTCTTCACACAGTGCCTCATGCAGCCAAATGAAGGGGCTACCCAACTCATTGCTGCCTGAGTTAGCCCCAGCCATTGGTCAGTATCTCTAGCTCAGCTCCTGATAAGGCAGTGACTATTCCCCAAACACCCTAAACAGGAAGAGCCAAGAAGAGAAATCTAACAGAAGAAGTTAAGAGGTGTGGTCTCAGGGAAGTCTGTTTCACAAAAGTGTTTTGACATGGGGAGGGGGATCACAGTTGATCTTACACTTTGCCCCAAAGGTAATGCTGTCAGAGGAAAGTACCAATTTAAATACATTGACCTCCAAAGGTTTCGTTAACCCACTCCAGATCCCAAGGTACTCTCTCTGAAGACCGACTGTGCTGTGTGCCCTTGGGTCCAACAACACTCATACCCATCACCCCCACAGACACCGAGCACGCCAATCAAAAGCACTGGCTCGCCTGCTACTACCCGCCCCTTACTGGCAGCCCAAGCGTTTCAGAAGTTGGTGACAAGCAGAGCTCAGCAGAAATGAAAGCAGAAAACAAAGCTTTCTTTTTTGACCTCATTCTCCAAATTACATACATCAAAAATATGTATCAGCACTTGCAGGTGCAAAGAACTGTCAAAACGTCCATCTGTCAAAAGGATGTAACTGTGAAGAGTCAGGACAAGGAAAGGGAGCTGGCGACTGCACACATGGGGGCTCCTGAACGTGGGGCCAAGAGAGTTCCTAAAATAAATCTGCTTTTTGCTCTACAGGCTTGTCCACCCTTTTGAAGTAAAACTAGAACAAAGTTCTTCAAATTGCAATGTGGGTAAGAATACAGATTGCAGGGCCCTACCCCGGAAGATTCTGATTTGGTAAGTCTGGAGGTATTGTCGTTGTTGTTGTTGGTGGTGGTGTGTTGTTGAGTTGATTGTGACTCACAGCAACCCTACAGGACAGAACAGAACCACCCCATAGGGTTTCTTAGGCTGTAATCTTCACAAGAGCAGATTTCCAGGTCTTTTCTCCAACGGAACAGTTGGTGGGTTCCAATCACTGACATTTTGTTTAGAGAGCTTAACCATTGCATCTGGGGCAGGGGCCAAGACTCTGAATTTTCACAAGCTCCCAAGTGATGCTGTTGTTGATGATGATGGACCGAGGACCACCATTTGAGTGGTGCAACATTACACCTGTGGCTACCCAAATGCCTGAAGAGTCCATGAGCTTTTCCACAGGCTGCCCAAACTCTGCAGATCCAAAACAGAATTCCCCACCTTCTTGCAAACCTGTTTCTCCTACTGGGTCTCCACTTCAGGGACCATGATGTCCCCATTTATTCATTACAGGCTGGACACTGTGCTAGGTCCTGAAGACACAGCTCTGGATGACAA